ACTCAGCCTCTCTGCCCTGTTGTTGGCCCTCCAGAGGAACTGGTTGAGGCCATCGTGTGAGACAGGATGCTGGACTAGGTGGACCCTCACTGGTCTGATCCAGCAGGGCTCTTCTGATGTTCTTATGAGGGGAAGGCCTCAGCCTCTCTGCCCTGTTGTTGGCCCTCCAGAGGAACTGGTTGGGGCCACTGTGTGAGGCAGGAATTCTGGACTAGATGGACCCTCACTGGTCTGACCCAGCAGGGCTCTTCTGATGTTGTTATGAGGGGAAGGCCTCGGCCTCTCTGCCCTGTTGTTGGCCCTCCAGAGGAACTGGTTGAGGCCGCTGTGTGAGGCAGGAATTCTGGACTAGAGGGACCCTCACTGGTCTGACCCAGCAGGGCTCTTCCGATGTTCTTATGAGGGGAAGGCCTCTCTGCCCTGTTGTTGGCCCTCCAGAGGAACTGATTGGGGCCACTGTGTGAGATGGGATGCTGGACAAGATGGGCCACTGCTCTGATCCAGCAGGGCACTCCATATGTTCCCATGTTCAGGCTGCTTTCTAAACTTTTGAGGTGAGCCATAAAACACAGGGAAGTTCGGCCCTTTATCACTCTTGGGACCACACCAAATCGCCAACCTGCACCTCAGACTAGCTTAAGTCTCTCGTTTCTCTTCTGAGGGGCTGCTTGGGAGTGCTGGCTCCCAGGTCTGTGGGGCGTGCGCAGCGCATGGCCTTGCGGAGGGGGTGGGCTGGTGGGAAGCCGAGTTGAGTCAGAGATTTCCATCTCGATCCGCTCCTCACCTCTCCCCGGGTCTGGCTGTGCCACATTAATTTTTTATCACCTGCTTCTTCGGCTCTCAATTAAACATGAGGGGAAGACAGAGGGGGGGGGAAGCCACCCCCAAAAGAAAAGGGAAAGGCCTTTCATCAACTCTAAATGGGCCAGCATGGGTGACGGGAGCTGTCTTCCTTTGAAAAGATAAGCGCAGGGAAGGTGGCGGAAGCGTGCGGTGCCCGCGGGGAACCATTGTCAGATTCTGCCTCAGTACAACTTGCTTCCTTAGTAAAAACACTCAAGTGTCCAAACAATATTTTAAAATGTGTACTCTGCTTTGGGGGTCCTGAAGAAGAAGAAGAGATTTGATTTATACCTCGCCCTTCCCTACCCGAAGGAGTCTCAGAGGGGCTTATAATCTCTTTTCCCTTCCCTTCCCTTCCCCTCCCCACAACAGACACCCAGTTAGGTAGGTGGGGCCGAGAGAGCTCTTTCGAGGACTGCTCCTGAGAGAACAGCTCTGAAAGGACTCGTAACTGACCCAAGGTCATCCAGCAGCTGCATGTGGAGGAGTGGGGAATCAAACCCAGTCTTCCCAGATTAGAGTCCGTGCTCCTAATTTTGGAACTGCAAGTTGCTTACACTTCAGTCATTACAGAGTTAAATGTTGTTTGTTAGGAAACAGGATGTTACTGTTACATAATGTATTCAAGGGCGGGAAAGTTTGTGGGAGTCGTTTATCCTAATGAAGTGACCTGTAACCTTTGTATTGGTCAACTAACATCTTGTTTGTAGAAATGCTTTGATCTAGCATTAATGTATTAACAAGTTTATGGCCCTTTGTGTGAACCAAAGCTGTAGTTCTCTTCTAGAAGCCAAGACAGATAGAAAGATGTCGCTGTTAGCATATATTACTGAGAGTAACTGCAAGTATGTAACTTCTATTTTATTTCTTTTATCCAAAGTACCATACCCATGTTTTATTTTGTTTTTTATAGTAAAGATATTTTTCTTTTACTAAGTGTGGCTCTTGTGTTTGCAGTACAACCATTGACCTTGAATTAAGAATCCCAACACCTAACCACTACCCTAAACTGGCTCTCCAAGAGGTTTACAGTATCATTCTCTCCGCCCCCCCCTTTTAGCCTCACATCAACAACCTTGTGAGGTAGGCTACGCTGAAAGTCCAAGTCACCTTGTGAACATCCATGGCAGAGTGGGGATTAGAACCTGGAACTCTCAAATCCTGTTCTGAAATCCTCCCAATAGGGCCTAGGTACCAGATGCCGGAGAAGACTTTCCTCCTGTAAAGTACTGGGTTCGCCGCATGGAGGACTCAGACGACGACATGCTTTTTTGCACAGGTTTATTGTACTTCACTCCAACTAAGACTAACTAACGGCCACAGGGCCAACTATATACATATCCACCCAGCACCCCCTATTCCCATTGGAGGGTTTGAATGTCCCGCCAAAGTGGCTATTGGTTAGGGCTGGGGGAAACCAGGATCCAAAGTTTCCTTTGTTCCAGGAGCCAAGCTCCTGCATGTGCTGCGGACCCCTGGTGGCGGTCCACGTACATAACACCTCCATCCAAGATACCAGGAAGCCACCATCACACTCTGACTTGGTATAAACCAGATGGTGCGGGAAAGGGCCCTCAGGTCACAGCGGGCTTATGGTGACCCCTGGTGGGGTTTTCAGGGCAAGCGACGTTCAGAGGTGGTCTGCCATGGCCTGCCTCTAAGCAGCGACCCTGGACTCCCTTGGTGGTCTCCCCTCCGAGCAGTGTTCCCTCTGAGTTAGTGTGAGCCAGCTCACAGGTTTTTAGCCTCCAGCTCACACATGTTTGCCTTAGCTCAGGAAGGACAGCTCCAGAGCAAACTCATTTCTGCAGCAGCCAAATCGCTCACTCACAATTTTAATGACAGTAGCTCAGAAAGTAGAGTTTTTGCTCACGAGACTCCACAGCTTAGAGGGGGCATTGCATCCAAGTACTAACCAGGGCTGATCCTGCTTAGCTTCTGAGATTGGATGAGATCAGGCTAGTCTGGGCTATCCAGGTCAGGTGACCAGGCCCGTAGCTACAGTGGGGCTTTGGGGGGCTCTGCCCCCTTTCTTAAAGGAACAGCCCCACAAGGATGTCTTCCGTAAATGATTTTTTCCAATCATTTTAAAACACTTTTTTAAAGGCATGAGCTCCTTTAAGCAGAGTGGTGTGCTGTGATTGACTAGTTCCCTCCTTGAGCAAGGGGGTTGGAATAGGTGAACTCTAGAATCCCTCTAACTCTGTGTCAATAAACTGTTCTTCTTTAAGAAAATTTTTCTGCCTAAGTGTTAGCTTTCTTGACTATTGAAGTCATCACCACCACCTGCCAGCTTGTTATCCCAATTGTTGCTTAGGCGGCTGAAGTGATTAACTTGCAGCAGCTGAGGACTGTCATCTAAAGTGGCTGGCAGCTTGCAATTTAGAGATCTAGCCTATCTGGTAACACCTTTCTATTGGTTAAATGGCTTTCCTTTCGGCAACAGTGGATGAAACTAAAAGGAGGGGAGGGAGACCCCCAAGGAACCAGGATTTTGCTTCTGTGCGTGAAACCCTTCTGCACCAAACAGGTTCATACACAAGTTTTCTAAGCACAGACTGATTATTCCTTTTGAATGCACAGTCTGTGCACGCTTAAAGGGCGAAGAAGGGGTCCATTTGCACCCTTGTCGATATGCGCCGAAGGGTGACATTCTAAACCACTGCAGTAGCTGTGTGCACAATACATTGCGCGCGTGTGTGTAGAGTGCCATCAAGTCACAGCCGACTTTTGTGTAGCAGCCCTGGAGATCCCAGGTGGTCTCTGATGCTCCCTCTAAGCTGTGGAGTCTTGTGAGCAAAAATTCTACTTTGCGAGGACTGTCATCTAAAGTGGCTGGCAGCTTGCAATTTAGAGATCTATCCTATCTGGTAACAGCTTTCTATTGGTTAAATGGCTTTTCTTTCGGCAACAGTGGATGAAACTACTGTGTAGTAGTTTGTGTAGCAGCCCTGGAGATCCCTGGTGGTCTCTGACACTCCCTCTAAGCTGTGGAGTCTTGTGAGCAAAAATTCTACTTTGCGAGCTACCTGCATTAAAGTTGTGAGCAAGCGATTTGGCTACTGTATAAATTAGTTGGCTCTGGCGTCATCCTTCCTGAGCGGAGACAAAAATGTGTGAGCCGGAGGCTACAAAACTGCGAGCTAGATCACACTAACTCAGCTTAGAGGGAACACTGGCTGGTCTCCCATCCAAATGCCAACCAGGACCAACCCTGCTTAGCTTTGAGATTTGATAAGATCAGGTTAGCTTGGACCAGCTGGGCCAGGGCATGAGAAGGTGTGTGGGGGGGTCCTCCTTCCAGATTAACTGATCTCGGACAAAGAAGAAGAAGAGATTGGATGTCTACCCCACCCTTCCCTCAGTGTCTCAGAGTGGCTTACAAACTCCTTTCCCTTCCCCTCCCCACAACAGACACCCTGTGAGGTAGGTGAGGCCGAGAGAGCTCTTTTGAGGACTGCCCTTGAGAGAACAGCTCTGAGAGAACTTGTGACTGACCCAAGGTCACACCAGCAGCTGCGAGCGGAGGAGTGGGGAATCAAACCCGGTTCTCCCAGATTAGAGTCCGTGCGCTTAACCACTACACCGAACTGGCAAACCTGTTATAGTATAATTCCCTCAAAGGGAATCTGGAAGGGGGAGGCAGACTTTATTTATTTACTTAGAAAATTTCCACGCTGCCTTTCCAGAGATCTGCCTACTCAGTCCTTGCAGTCTTTCCAGCTCCCCCCCCCCCTCCAACGAGGGCTGATGATTTCTGCACAATTCCCCCCTCCCGCCAACACCATTGGCTTGTACATGTTAATCTGTTTGCATTGCTGGCGGGTTCCAAATAGCCCAGCACAACCATCTGGCTGGAGAATGAGAAAGAAAGGAAACCTCGGGGTTTGGTGTTTGTGGGGGGGGGGGGGGAGGTGGAGAGGAAGGGAAACCTAGCTGTGTGTTTGCTCGGAACCAGCCAGGTGGCAAATTCCCTCCTAAGTGTCTGTTTACTATCGCTAACCCGTTGTATTAACCTAGTTTGCGAATGCAGCAAAAGCCAGGGCGCTCTCCCATTGGCCGCCCGCGCCTGCCACTCAAAGTGCCGGCATCTTTGAGTCCGGCAAGATGCTATATATGCCAGGCAGCTGGAGAGAGAGGGGGGCCAGTGTGTGAATGAGAGCCGGAGAGCGAGAGGAAGCGGACCACAGCATCTTTGCCGGAGCATCCCCAGGGTACCAGCCCGGCAGGCGTCATGAGTAAGGTGAGAAGGATGCCGGCTTTGGGAGGGGGGTGGGGGTCTGGTGTGTGATCAAGGGGTTCCCCCCCTTCTCCAAGGGAGCCCCCCTTGCAAATGCAGCTTCTCTGCGCTTGGCATCCCCCCCCCCCCCCCCGGGGGCCACCCCCCCCCCCCCCCGCCGGGGGCCAGCTGGCACAGCAGGGCCACGATGCCCCAGCGGTGGGCAGAGAAGACACACCGATGAGCTCCTCTAAAAGAGCGAGTCTACCTAAGCTAGGTGAGACGGGCAGACTTAATTGTGTAATGTGTGCGTGGGGAGGAAGGCAGACGGGCTCCTCCGTGGGGGGACGGGATCCTCCGAGAGAGTGCGTGTGCCCCGATCCAGCTGTGCGTGTGTGTAGGGGAGAGAGAACTTTCTTCTTGGGTCTGAGAGAGAGGAAAGGAGAGAGATTTCCACAAGGGCCAGCTGGGGGTCTGAAGACCAACCTACAGAGGTAGGACCTGGCTGTGAGCGTGTGTGTGTGTGTGTGTGTGTGTGTGTGTGTGTGAGGGTGATCCAAACCAAGGCTTACTTCCTATGGCTTTGTATGAGTGTGAGCCTTCTTGCAAATCTCTGAGAATAGGGATGAGCAGTGGGGAAGACAGGGGCCGACCGGGTGTCTCTGCAAGAGGGAATTTCTGGGCTTGCAGCTTCTCCCAGCTAGGCAGGGACAGCTGAACTCGGGCAAACGTCTCCCGCATGTCACTGCAAACTGACCCTGCCTTCTTTTGCTAGTGCGTGCCCATCGGGGATGTGCAGAGGAAGCCCGGACCTGTGTAAGTCATGCGGAAGTGAGGGGCAGTTTTGAGAGCAAGAGAGACCAGATTCTGATATGTTTCTGATTGTACTGTTATCTCACTCCATTAAATCCCATCTGAGTAGTGGAGCCAGCCCTTGTCCGCTATGGTGTTTAGGCGCATCGATCCGAAGGCACGCGCTGTGAACTCTGGAGCATACGTGCTATTAACTCTGCAGTACGTGTGATCCGTTTCTGGAAGGGCGGGAAGAGAGGGTCCCCCCTTGTCTGTGGAAGGAAGGAAGGGGACCCCATCAAGGGACTCCAAAAGAATAATCACCAGTGCAGAGAGAGTGGATAGGCAGAATTCTCTTTCTGTCTGTCGAATAATACCAGACACCTGAGCAGCGGTCAGTTCGCAGTTGCCTAGAGAGGAAGTCCTTCCGTGCAGTGCCTATGGAATTCCCTGCCACAAGATGCAGTGACGTCGGTTACTAGTTTTGACGGCCGTGAAAGCTAAAAAGGATTTAGTCTCCTTCAGGGAGGGCAGCGCAGTCCGCATTAGCCATGATAGGTAAATGGAACCTTCATACACAGTAGCAGAATACCTTTAGTTACCAGACGCTGCAAATGACAGAGGTGGGCTGTCACCCCCATGCTTCTCTCTGGAGCTTCCCGGAGGCATCTGGTTGGCTGCCGAGGAGGAGATGGGATTCAGATGGACTTTTCAGCCAGTTTGGTGTAGTGGTTAAGTGGGCGGACTCTAATCTGGGAGAACCGGGTTTGATTCCCCACTCCTCCACTTGCACCTGCTGGATGGCCTTGGGCAAGCCATAGTTCTGGCACAGCTGTTCTTGAAAAAGAGCAGTTTCTGTCAGAGCTCTCCCAGCCCCACCTACCTTGCAGGGTGTCTGTTGTGGGGAGGGGAAGGGAAAGGAGTTTGTAAGCCCTCTGAGACTCCCTTGGGTAGTAAAGGGCGGGGTATAAATCCAATCTCTTCTTCTTCATCGGATTGAGCCGAGCCGCCTTGACAACGATCCACTTCTGCAAGATCTGTGGCGGTGTGGCTGTGGTTGCGTGGCCCCCTGGGCGGCCCTGGACCTCTCCTCCCCCGGGGGGCACGCCTCTGCCTTGTGATACCCACCCACCCACATTGCAAATCCCTTTTTGCAGAGAGAGAGGAGCTGCCTGGAAAGAGCCCTTGAAGCGGGCAGCGTCTAAGTGGGGTTGACAGGAGCCATTTAGGCGTGAGGCCGGCCAGGCCAATTCTCTTAATGATGCTTAATTGCCTCGGAGAGGCCAAGGAGAGCCCTTGGGGGCGCTTGGGATGCTGGGATGGGAACTGGCACCCAGCCCCTCGCTCCGGACGGACGCAGATGATTCAAAATATAACTCGCAGGCCAGGGCGCTACCAGCTCCTTGGGCCCTTCCCCTCTCTGCATCCTGGGTGGGCTCACCTCTCTTACAGCGGCACTTCCTACTCAAGGACTGTTATCTCAGCCGGCAAGGGACCAACGTTCCCTCTAAGCTGTGGAGTCTTGTGAGCAAAAATTCTACTTTGTGAGCTGCTGGCATTAAAGCTGTGAGTGAGCGAATTGGCTACTGCATCAATTAGTTTGCTCTGGAGCCATCCCTTCCTGGGCTAGGACAAAAATGTGTGAGCTGGAAGATAAAAACCTGTGAGCTAGCTCACACTGACTCAGCTTAGAGGGGAACACCCCAAGGGACCACAGGCCAGGCTTGCAAATGGACGCTTTCCCTGCTCGCCTGTGGTGAACTGCAATTGCTTCCAGGCGACCAAGGAGAAAAGCTTTTTTTGAAAGTTGGCAGTGGGGCAAAGAGGAGGAAGAGCCAGTTGTGGGTTTTTCCCTTTTCAGGTTGCTAACGTGCCCCACGAGACTCTGATTTGCGGGCAGGCAGTCTGGTGACTTCTGTGGACAGTATCAGGAGGACCATGCCGGGTGTGGGGCTTGCAACTGGGGCTTGCAATCTGTACGTCAGGGAAAAGGAAAGGGTTAGAACAGTGTGTATGTGTGCACGTGCAAGGATTTATTTATGATCTGACATGATACTTCCATCCCACCCTTCCTTCCAAGGAACCCAGGGTTGAATACTTGGATTACCCTCACAAGAACCCTAGACACGGCTGCCCAGGTGTGTCATGGCAGGCTGGGGATTTGAACCCGGGTCTTTTTGGTCCTAATGCACCACTCAGTTGAACGCACACAAAGCTGCTTTGTACTGAACCAGACTATCAGTCCATCAAGGTTGGTGCTGTTGACTCCGACTGGCCGCAGTTCTCCAGGGTCTCAGGCGGAGGTCTCTCACATCACCTCCTGCCTGGTCCTTTTAACTGGAGACGCTGGGGATTGAACCTGGGACCTTCTGCATGCCAAGCAGAGGCTCTTCCACTGAGCTACCGGTCCTTCCCCTGTTCTTTCCCCACACCCATCCACAGCAAGATTTATTACTTCCTGTCTCCAAATCTGATCTGACCTCTCTGCTGAGGCCAGTTTATAATCCTGTCACCGCTGCCTCGCAAGGTCTTTCCATTAGAGAACCCACAGCTTAATAAATGCAGATTTATTCCAGTCTAAGGCCACTGAATCAATGGCCTTAAAGTCTGCAGCATTGGATTGCCCTGACAGAGAATGAAAAAATATATATATATTAACTTGAACAGATTAACATTCACCAAGATTTATAGCATTGTTGTAAAGCTGGCAGTATTGTGGAGTAGAAGTTCGACAAGCTCGAGCGTGTCCAGAAGAGGGCAACCAGGATGGTGAGAGGGTTGGAATCCAAGTCTTACGAGGAAAGGCTGAAAGAGTTGGGTATGTTTAGCCTGGGAAAGAGAAGGCTTAGGGGGGACATGATTGCAGTCTTCAAGTATCTGAAGGGCTGTCATGTAGAAGATGGAGCGGATCTCTTCTTTCCTGCTCCGGATTGCAAGACTAGATCTAATGGGTGGAAATTACAAGGAAGACATTCCCGGTTAAATATCAGGAGAGACTTCCTAACTGTAAGAGTGGTTGAGTACTGGAACAGACAGCCTCGGGAGGTGGTGGATGCTCCTTCACTGGACGTTTCCAAGCAGAGGCTGGACGACCATCTTTCGGGTATGTTGTAGGGCTATCTTTCGGCTATGCTCCTGCTGCGTGCAGGGGGTTGGACTAGATGACCTGCAAGGTCCCTTTCCGACTCTCACATTCTATGATTCTAAGTGTGTGGGCACACGGAAGCTTACACCTTGAATAAAACTTTGTTGGTCTTAAAGGTGCCACTGGACTCCAGCTGAGAGGCAGATCTGGTTGTGATAGACCTCAATTCCGTTCCCTACTCAGTTATGAAGTTCACTGGAGGAGGGAGCCTTGTGGAGAACATCTCTCTCTTTCAGCGGAAAGGGGAGGAAAGGCTACAAAAAGAGAGGCATTCGGAGTCCGCATGCGTGGGAAATGAAGCTGCATCGAAAGAATTCTGTGGAACCTGAACGCTTGCATTCACTCTCTGTCCCCTTTCCACGTCACCTCATTATTTTCTCCCAGAAGAGTGAGTTTACTTTTAATTCCCCCCCCTTTAATAAATTCTGAACACATGCCATTTCACCCAAAAGCCACACACGCCAGTTTGAATCTAGATTTTGGGGGCGGGGGGGGGGGAGAAGAGAAAAAGATGAGTCTCGAGATACGGTTGTAAAGTAGACCAGCTCTGGGATCCTGGAACAGACTGGGTTCCGTTGCTGTCCCGAGGAAGTGGCAGATAAAACTTGAAATGAATTTACTCGGACTCGACTGTGCGACTGAACAACAACAACAAAATAATTTACCCGGTGCTGCAGTGGCTTAGAGGTTAAGACACTGAGCTGCAGACTGGAAGGGCTGTCGCGTGTCAGTTCGGGACCCTAGTGCCGCAGGACAGAGTGAGTGCCCGTCTCTGGCCCCAGCTCCTGCTGACCTAGCAGTTCGAAAGCAAGTAAATAGGTACCGCTTTGGTGGGAAGGTAACAGTGTTCCGTGCATCTCGGCGTTTAGTCATACCGGCAACGTGACCACAGACATGTCTTCGGACAGCGCTGGCTCTTCGGCTTGGAAACGGAGATGAGCACCGCAACCCTAGAGTTGGATTCGACTAGCTTTTGAGCAACGGAAACCTTTACCTTTATAATTTACTCAGGGGTATAAATGAACTGTTCTAAAGACACCCCCCCCCCCCCGAATCTCTGATAGTGAGGAAAGCTAGGCCAATGTTT